ACACGCACTCTCACTCAGCTCACTCTGACTCTCACTCCCACTCACACTCACTCTCACTCTCACTGGCACACGCACTCGCGCTCAGCCACCGCTGCCGACGCAGGACCGCGTTAGGAGCCACATGTCGCGCACCACATGCACGGCTTCAACGTAATCAGCAACAACCAAGGAACACTCCGACCACTCAACCATCAACCATACAGCAGCTCTTTTAATGACTTTCCAAGCACTGTGAGCAGCGTAGCCCTGTGCTCTGCATGCAGACGCCTGTGCTCCATCGCTCAATCGCATCACAGCGCATTGACACACTCCCCAGTAACACATTCAAGACAGTCGCGGATTGCCGTGGCTCAACGCCATTTTGGGGTAACGGAACCAGCCATCGCTTTTCTCTGCACATACCCCAGTGGATTGCAAGAGAATGCGAAATCTTCCTTGTGTAAGGAAATCTCAGATGCGCTGCCCCCATGAATTTCCAAAGGCCCGTGTTTCTTGGTCAGGTAGATGCGAGTCATTTTGTCCCTGTATACGGGTCCGTTGGTTTCATGTTGGCTGCATGTTGCTAGGGTTGCTATAATTAGTTTGGTGTTTTTCCTGCCAGCCATGCATCTGTTTTGCTTGCACTTCTGGTGACAAGCAATGCGAAATGGCCCCGTGTCTCCTGGACTTCTTCCAAAAGCTTCTTCAACTCACGAACCTCTGTCGACAAGACCATTGCCATGTACTTCTTCCATTGCTGCATATTCTTACTGTATATCCATCAAATTGTCCAGTGGGTTGTAGGTTAAAGGAAAACAGTAAACACAGGATAGCACAACTCAACTCACCAATAGGCTTGGATTAGAACTCAAGAAAACACATCAAAAACCGGATGGTGTAGCAACACACGCGGCCACTCAGGGTCAACCATCTACTCGCACAAAAGAGCTCTTGTTTCAGTGGCCTCATTAAATAAATGCCATCTGGTCCACCCTGCTATCAAGCTCGATCGTGAGCTCCTTCGTGTTGGACCCCCGAGCCAAAATGAAATGACCTGAAACGGCCCGAGTCAGTTTTGGTCAGCTACAACTCACCCCCTGTCAGTCAAGAAGCGGTCTTCAATTTGATCAACTCCCTCATTGTTATTTGAAGTAAGAACGCCATAGCTGTCGCTATCTGGGGAAAAAGCAGCAGAAACAACAAGAGCAGAAAAGCAGCAAAGCAACCAAAGAATGGAAACCTGCTGGGCTTCATGAGATGGCTGGTCGTGGCCAAAAAAGTTCAGGCTTATCAGCTCGCTTCTATTTGCCATGGTGGGGCACACCCATGGTCCTCCGGGCATTTAAGCTTAAATATGGAACGTGCTTGTCTTGGAATGAACGGGTCAAAACTGTACTTTGAGTTCTTTATGTAAAAACTGTAAGAATTCTTCGTCGCTAGCTCTTGCAGAAGTTTGGAGTTTATTCTCGGAAAAGCCTCGGATTATTTCATGATTTCTCCGCGCGCAGCTCGGGAGAAAACCGAAATTTCTTCGCAGAACAGCATTGCAGAAATCTTGGTTTTCTTCGGAACTGCGTGCAGAGAAATCATTATATATATATATTCTCCTGACAGAAGTAGCAGTCACTTGCAGCCACTTGGCAGCCACTTGCAAGTGGCTGCAAGTGGCTGCAAAATGGAAAATCAAAAGGCGCACCTCTCCTGCAAGCTCAATGAGATCAGATTTTTTGCACTTCTTAAGCCATTGGTCGAGTCTGTAGCCTTCTCAATTTTTTTATAAAGCACTCAATCTGTATATTCCGGGAACTGTCATGCAGCCATGCAGGTCCAAACCCTCTCCAATGGTATGGCCCTAGTAAGATCATAATCCCTGGATCATGTTCGGTTTTCCCACAAGGGTTGTCTTCGTCCTTGTTCTAGGAATGTTGAAGCTTAGATGCTTCCAAGTCCCTCATCATAAGAACAACCCAACCCTCAACATGTCTCTTATACCCCGTGGCCTTAAAAATCCCACCCCCAACTTTGTGGCCCTGAGATGAACATACCAACACATCGCTAGTGACTACGCTAGTGACCCAAACATCGCTAGAAAAGTGAATGGCCCCTCCAAACATGTCTAGGAACTTCTTCTTATCCACTATCAAGAACTATAAATTTTTGGTGGCCAAAATAAGTTGGTATTCTACTCTTGTGCAGCT